TTATTGACGTTAATTTTATAAAATATTGTCGTAAAATAAAAAAAATTATATACGTAAAAAGACGACAAAGAAAAATACGTTTGAATAAAACGACATCATGTCAAAAGAGAGAGAGAGATAATGAGTATATGTAGAAAAAGAGAGAAAGAGTATGTTAGTATTAAAGCACATATCCTAATATTAGTTTTACTTACCACCAAGGTGCATTCTGGGGAGGGTAGCGATAACTACCCAGGATTGTTTAAACAAAAAAAAAAGGAACGGAGGACTGAGAGAATCCAGAGCGTCAAAAGAGACTATTGGGGAACGTTCCAGGTACACGCTAGAGAGCAAAGAGGGCGGGACAAGCGATTTTGTTCTCACCATTGGGTGCATTTATTTTCGATCACAGGCGAATTTACTTTCCGGAAAGAGTGTATATCAAATCACTCTTCCAGAAGAAGGCCTTTATATTTCTAATTTTTAAGGCGTTTTCAGTTGGTTGAAAACCAAAGCATGATCCTGAACGTGGTTTCAGCAGTAGAAGCGTTTGGCTTTGTAAAGGTATGGCAGTTAACATCCATGCTAAATAATGCAATTTTTACTGACAGTATTCATCATACATATTACAGGATGAGCTACAGCTCTTTAAAGATAAGTATGAATGTAGAAGCAAGAAAGAAAAGAAAAAGTTAAAGAAGCTTATTAAGCCATCTTTCATTACAGAGCTCAATAAAAGGATGATAGTTTTTAGGATTGGATTCTCGCAACATTATACCTGTTGAAGACCGAACTAGTGTCTATCAGAAGCTTGCGTTTTATTGTAAATCTAAATTACTGAGAAATTAATTTGTCGAAAAAATATGAAGGGACCACAATAAAAGTGGGGCATCCCAAGTAAGGCATTTGATTCGTGGGAAAATAATCATACTAAAAGACATGTTCCCTCCTCCTTTTTCTCACGCGCCTCCTTTTTTCCCTTCTTGCTCCCTTTTTTATTTCTCTTTACTTTTTTTTTATATCTACTTTATAGAATGCTGTCTCGCTTTGTCAAAACGACTGTACAGGTAACTCTTTAAAGGAGGGGAAATCGTGGCTGTTTATTTACTTTAATAGAAATCATTGCCTAAATCATTCATTCCCCGTCATTTCTCTACGGCTTACAATGCTGCTGTCGCTGGTCTATCACCTCAACAAGAAGAACTTCGATCTGCTGTTCATGATTGGGTCAATGTAGAACTTGCACCTCGTGCGACAGAGATTGACAAGGCCAACGAGTTTCCTATGGATATGTGGCGTAAATTCGGTGATATGGGTTTACTGGGTGTCACTGCACCTCAAGAATATGGCGGCTTAGGATTAGGTTATTTGGAGCATACAATGGTCATGGAAGAAATCTCGAGAGCAAGCGGTTCAGTCGCTTTGAGCTATGGTGCTCATTCTAACCTCTGTGTCAACCAGATTGTCAGAAACGGTAATGAGACACAAAAGGCTAAATATTTGCCCAAACTTATCTCGGGTGAACATGTTGGTGCCTTGGCTATGTCCGAACCAGGTTCAGGTTCAGACGTAGTCAGTATGAAGTTACGTGCTGAGAAGAAGGGAGATCACTATGTTTTGAATGGTGATAAGTTTTGGATCACGAATGGTCCTGATGCTGATGTCTTGGTTGTCTATGCAAAGACAAAGCCAGAGGCTGGCCCAAAGGGTATTACTGCCTTCTTGATCGAAAAGGTATGAGTGATGCGGAGGAAAAAAGAGAATGAAACTTATCGTCTTGTAGGGATTTGAAGGATTCTCAACTGGTCCCAAATTTGATAAACTTGGTATGCGTGGATCAAACACTTGTCAATTGTTTTTTGACAACTGCAAAGTACCAGGTAAGAGAAATAAAAAAAGAGTTTAAATGTAGAAAAGAGTATAACATCAATTATCTAGTCGAAAATGTTTTGGGAGAAGAGAATAAGGGTGTTTATGTGTTGATGAGTGGTTTAGATCTTGAACGTCTTGTTCTCTCTGGTGGACCATTGGGGTAAGTGTACATACACATAACATAAGGTCAGCCTTATAACTATATCTCAATAGTTTGATGCAAGCTGCTCTTGATACTGTTATTCCTTATGTTCATGAGCGTAAGCAGTTTGGCCAGTCTATTGGTGAATTCCAAGTAAGTAAAGATAGTAAGCGACCACACAAGAGGAAAATAACATGTAATGTTAGCTCATCCAAGGCAAGTTGGCTGACATGTACACTAAATTAATGGCTTCAAGAGCTTATGTATACGCTGTTGGCCGAGCATGTGATCAAGGCAACATCAGCAACAAGGACTGCGCAGGCGCCATTTTATATACAGCTGAAAGAGCCACTGAGGTCGCATTAGATGCTATTCAATGTCTCGGAGGCAATGGTTATACCAATGAATACCCCACGGGTAGAATCTTGCGAGATGCTAAATTATATGAAATTGGTGCAGGAACAAGTGAAATTAGAAGAATGCTTATTGGTAGAGAATTTAACAAATTGTTTAAATAAATAAATCCACATAAAAGTGGGGTCTTGTATAGTCAACATCCACACACAGAGTCCAGTGCTTATTTTTTCAGTAATGAAGCATAGTTCAAATAATACGGATGCAAGGAAATGGTACTGATTAGTTTTATCCTTAAACATCCTACAAAGAGCATACGTTATCTTATCTTTACAATTGAAGGATGATTTTATACTGATAAAGAAAGAAAGATGAAAGCATGATCTATTATCCTATCAATATTCTATAGCGTAGTCACAGTAATGAACTGAGTGACTTGAGCAAAGTATCAGCAATAGCAACAGACGCCAGCTTATTTCTGACTAGGCCAATCTTTTTTTTTTTTTAACTTTCCGTATATCTGTTATCAAACTTGTAGAACAAGAGATACGACTGTAGCACACAAACACACATTGATCTGAACAGTAAGAGGATATGAATTAAACTGTGTGGACCTGTATGATTTCATGACTTTTCTTTATTATGCAAAAAAAAAGGGTATCACGATCTTTTAGTCCCTTTAGTTTTTGCCTGAGAAAAAAAAATATATATATAATGATATATACCTTCATTCTCGTCTCCTTGTTACATTATTTTAATAAAAGTGTATATAGTCGACTAGTTTATCCTTTCTTTCTTTTAATAAACCCATCGTTTTGATAACACTACCACTATTACAAGAAAGAAGACTCAAGATAATAGTATCTATAAAAGGTATATTTCAATTCAAGATATGCACATGACCTACTTCTCATCAAAAATGTGCGCCCTTCAAAAAATATACAAATTTATATAAAAGGGGTCATGGTAAATGCTGCACATTAGCCAATGAGACACCAGTGATGACAAATGGACTCCAATACATTTTATGAAAAGAGAGACACTATGATCATTTAGTTATCCGGTAATTTGGTTCGTGAGATAAGATAGAAACTCATAAAGACACTTGTTCACAAAGCATATAAATTTTGTCAAACGAAAAAAAAAAAAAGAATGTATAAAAGTAAACAAGCATCCTTCCTTTTTCTCTCTCTTTCTCTTTATTTATTTTTATTACCTTTTTATTGATTATGTCCGATACAGAAAAAACTAGTATTAAAGAAATCGAGCATGGCCAACCGCCATTAAATGCCGATGAGGCACTTTTACAATCACTTGGCTATAAACAAGTAAACACTTTAATCAATTCTTCATGTTGCTCTGATTTTAATACAAGCATGTGTGTATATATAGGATCTAAGTCGATCCATCTCAGCATTTTCTAATTTTGCTATTGCATTTTCATGCTGCTCTGTTCTATCTGGTCTAACGCCTATGTGGGGTGATGCCATGAGTGACGCTGGATCATTAGGCGTTATTTGGGGTTGGGTTATCACAGGTACATTTACACTTATTGTGGCCTTATCCCTTGCAGAGATCTGCAGTGCTTATCCAACCACTGGAGGTTTGTATTTCTGGGTGTCGCGTTTGGCCACATCAAAGTGGGTGCCTTTGGCTTGCTGGGTTACAGGCTGGTGTAACTGGATTGGTTTATGCTGTGAGTAGCACTTTTTTTTATGCACGGGACACACTGAAAATAACATTTGCCTTTTTTTTATAGTCGGTATCACCTCTGTTGATCTTGGACTATCTCAATTCATCGCTGGTGTGGTTTCTGTGTGGTAAGCTAAATACAAAAAAGGAATAAAGTTATATATATATTAAGGCCATTTCAGGAATCCTGATGTCAATTTATCTGTCTATGCTCAATATGGCATCTACGTTGGTATTCTTATTGTTCATGGTATACTCAACTCAGTAGCTGTGAGCTGGAACGGTGTGATGAATCAAGCAGCATGTAATTTATCTCACTTGATGTCTATTGTGTGTGATGCTTACTTTACTTGTATTAGTTTATGCCAACATGTTGGGTATTGCCTTTATTGTTATTGTTGGTCTTGCCATCACAAAACCATTGGCTACTGGTGAATTTGTGGTAAGTTTTTGATTAGAGAACATCATGGCATCTCCTTACCCTTTTTTTATGACAATCAGTTTACACAATTTTACAACGGATCTGGTTTTAGCAGCAACGGGTTTGCCTTCTTGCTTGTCATCCTGCAATCTCAATATACACTTTCAGGCTACGACAGTGCTGCCCACATGAGTGAAGAAACAAAAAATTCACAAAGTGGCTCTCCCTTTGGTATCCTTGTCAGTGTAGCTGCCAACGCTGTCTCTGGCCTTGTGTTCTTGATTGCCGTCAGCTTTATGGTGACTGATTACGAACGACAAATCTTGAGCGAAAATGCCATTCAACCACAGATGGTTCAAGTTTTTTATGATGGCGTTGGAGGAGCTTGGACGATGGTCTTTTTAGTCTTTGTCATGCTCAGTATCTTCTTTTGTGGGTCTGCCTTGACCCTTGGTAGTTCCCGTATGGTCTACGCTTTTGCTCGTGATGGAGCAATGCCCTTTTCAAAACATCTGCACTCACTCAACAAGAAGACAAACAGTCCAGTGGTCGCCGTGTGGTTTAATATTCTTGTAGCAGCCATTGTTGGTGTCTTGTACATGATCAACAGTACAGCATACGAGGCCATTGTCTCTGTTAACACCATTGGTTCACAAATGTCTTACCTTGTACCTATCCTCCTGCGCGTCACAGCGTCTCGTACAAAGTTTAAGCCCGGTCCCTTTAGCCTTGGTCGATTCAGTGTGGTGACGGGATGGATTGCCTCTGCCTGGTTGATCTTTACCTGTGCCCTCTTTATCACACCAACTACCGCTCCTGTGACACCTGATACGATGAATTACGCTGTTGTGCCCTTTGCTGCAATCATGATCTTTTCCATGGGCTATTACTTTATCTGGGGTCGAAAGTGGTTTACAGGGCCCGTTCGTATGGTCGATGGAAAAGAGGTCATTCTTGATGATGAAAGTATCTAATGTTTATCTTTTTGTATATATATCCTCGCTTTATTTATAATTATTATTTTAATATTAAAAGCTTTTTTCTTATTTTCTGTATAAAGAGTGTTGATAAGGAAAAGCTTACATGATGATTTGAGACGGTGAGAAGAATATATTGCACAGTGCTTTTTTTTGTTTTGTTTTAAGTGTGGACTTTATTAATGCGTGGTGTAAGTCAAGGGCATTGCTGCATTATTATCAAAAGTCACGCGTTTTGTGGATCAGCCCCATTACAAAAAATATTAATAAAGCATTTGTAATGCGCCTTTAAACTCAGTCGTATTGCGCAGGCGCATAAATACGTGCTTTCCCCAGACTTGATTTCAAAGATGTTTTTATTACTTTCTTCCAAAAAGTTTTTATCTCATAACCGAAGCATAATTACAAGATACATGTCTCAAGGTACCAAATCCTCGATTCTTAACTGGGCTAGCAAAGATGGTGAGTTCAGACGTCAACAGTCTGTCTTTCGCGACTTTATTGAAGATAAGCCTGATGCCAAGTTTGCTCCCGAACCGTAAAGATCACAAAGATATAAAGTGTATAATTCTAAGAATGAAATTTCCCATAGTGATCGTTATCATCTCTACATTTCTTGGGCTTGTCCTTGGGTAAAATATTATTTTATTATCCATGTCTGGACATTATTGACACCCTTTTGTAGGCTCACCGTACGGCTATTGTACGTAACTTGAAAGGACTTGACAAGATAATCGGCCTATCTGCTGTTGATTATCTGATGCTTGATAAAGGGTGGAAGTTTTCTACCGAACAAGAATGTCCTGGTGCTATTCCTGATACTGTCAACAATGCTTCTTATATTCGTGACATCTATTTCAAGGTCAATCCAAACTATGAGGGTCGTTTTACTGTCCCTGTTCTTTGGGACAAGAAGCTCCAGACGATTGGTAAGGCATAACTATGATAACCTATTTATATGTGGGGGAACCGATTTGTAACCAAAGTATATAATTAGTCAACAATGAAAGTTCTGAAATCATTCGTATGTTCAATACAGTATTTAACAAGTTTTTGAGCAAAGAGCAAGCAGAACTCAACTATTATCCCGAGCCCCTTCGAAAAGAGATTGACGAGACAAATGAATGGGTTTATGATACTGTCAATAACGGTGTTTATAAATCTGGTTTTGCAACCACTCAGGAAGCTTGTAAGTTGATTTTTTTAAAAAAAGAGAGAGAATGCAGACTGATATTCAAATAATAGATGAAAACAACGTGTTTCCTTTATTCAAATCTTTGGATAGAATCGAAAAAATGCTTGACGGTCACAAGTATTTAGTACAAGACACGTTTACTGAAGCCGATATTCGATTATTTACTACGATTGTCAGGTATAAAAAATAATAATAAAAAAAGATGTAAGCGTGAACCAACCTTTATAAAAATAGATTTGATCCTGTCTATCATGGTCATTTCAAGTGTAATTTAAAGTCCATTCAACACGACTATCCAAACATCTTGGAATGGACACGTCGCATTTATCAAAAACCAGGAGGTAAGTTGACACATGTTTATATGCAAGTCTAATTAATTATATTTGTGTATTATAGTGAAAGAAACAGTCAACATGGATCACATCAAGAGACACTATTACATGTCCCACAGACAAATTAACCCAACCCAAGTTGTTCCCATTGGTACTGGTCCTGACCTTTCAGTTCCCGTTGAACCTTAAATGCGTGTTTATTATCTTTGTGAAATAAAAAAAAGTGACGTGGGGTATGATTCTTTTTATTTACACGCCATCCATTTGGCCTTCTAATTCGTCCAACTCAGCCCTGGCAGCTAGGTACTTGGCTTCCAAGTCGGCATGCTTCTTATCCCAAACAGAAATCTCTTGTTGAATCTTGACAGCCTTCTTTTCCAATTGTTCAGCACGCAAGTCAGCATCACGGAAACTATAGAGGGTTTATTATTAGCTTCGCCCCCTTTTTTCTCCATTTTAAACAACTTACTCGGCAGTAGCTTGTTTCAAGTTAGCTTCAGCTGTTTCAAGAGCTTCTTCCAACTCCTTAGCACGAGATTGCAAAGTACTCAATTCGTTATCTTTTTGTTCATGCTCAGCTTCCAGCTGCTCAGCCTTGGTCTTTAACTCATCAGCACGGTTAGTGGCATCTTCAACTTCTTTACGAAGAGTAGCGAGTTTCTACAGTACAACTTAGCCCTCCTTCTTCTTCTTGTGTTTAAGGGACAACAATTAAAGAACTTACCTCCTTGAATTTCTCCATGATGAATGACTAAAGTTTTAATAAAGAAAAAAGAAAAAAAAAAGAAAACGTTTTCGAAACAAAAATATTTATATGTTCAAATCGGGTTTATAAATAAAAATGTGATCATTGCCTTTTACGTGTATCGCACACACACACCACAAGAAGTACAATCGTCCCTCTTTCTCTCTCTCTATTTCACTCTCCTTTATTTAATTTAAGAGACAAGGAAACTAGATTCATGTTCCATCAAAAGTTGAGCTGATTTCTTTGAATCAAGGAAGAGGTCATCTACTTCCTTGACATCGTCTAAACTGATGGATGAGTGGCCATTAATCTCTGAAAGAACATTAGCTGGTGTTAATAATTGAACAGCGTATCTATAAATATCATTAGTATAGATTATATATGTATATTCAGTGTGTATATACCTTAAAGAGCTATTGATGCCTGCATTAGCAATATATTCAATTGCATCTTCATCAACCGTCAATCCTTCTGTCTTGGCGCGGATGGAAATGATCACCTTAATTTCATCAATCGAATAAGGTAATGTACGAATGATCAAGAGTCGATCCAAGAGGTCAACAGGGATTCCATGAGGAGAGACGATATCATCTGTACCTCGAATAGTACAATTACCTCGGTTCGTAGCAAAGATGACAATAGGTGAGAGTGGTGATTCGAGAGCACGGTTGAGATATGTAAAGCATTCAATGTCCAACATGTGTACTTCATCAATAAAAAGTACACCAGGCACAAGTTCGGCAATACCTTGTTCGATATATTTATTCACCACCTTGTTAATCTCCTGTCTTAGCTTATCTGTAATTTCTGTCTTTTTTGGTTTTAACAATTGACCCATCATAGACATGATGTCTTGACCACCTTCAGGTCTAGCATTGGCAACATCCAAATCATGAAGAGTGACGTCCTGAATGACTTCCTTCTTTTTATGAACTTCACCCTTTGGTAAAGGAACATATTCTTCAGCTTCCAAATCAAATTCTGTAGCATAAGCATCAGATCGACCCACTCTCTGTAAGAACACAATAAGCTTCAACTTATCATAAACATTATGTCTTTTTTACCTTGCAAGCACCTGTGTTGGCTTCAATATAAATCACATCACCTACTGTCACTTTCTCTTTCTGAATGGATTCATAAATACTAGGATCTAACTTGAGTTGCTTGACACCCTTGACCGTTTTCAAACCAATGATGACATGTGAGATCGTTTTGCCGTATCCACCTAAAGGATTCTCTGTCTCTTCAGGTGTCAACTCTGTCACTTCACCTTCATACACTTCCTTGGTTTCCTTGATGCGTAAACCAATGGCTCTTCTGAAATTCTCCATCAATACCTCTGTCTTTTTAATTTCGCTCGAATACACTTCTGATCCTACAATCGGGCGGAATGGCACCTTGGGGCCTAACTCTTGTGCGATAGCTAAAGCAATAGCTGTTTTACCCGTACCAGGAGCACCGGCAAATAGTAAAGCGCGACCAGCCATACTTTTGCTTTTGATCATGTCTACGACAATTCCACTTGCCTATGTATATTACGATTATTAATCATTACGCGTATCACTTGTTCATTACTTGCCTCTCGCGCATTCTCTTGACCAACAAATCCAGCTTGAATAGGTTCTGCTGTACCATCAGGTCTAAGACCGAGCCCTTTGATATGTGAGTGTGTTGCCACACGTTTTTCATGTGGCGCGGTTTTGACCTGCTCAATCTTCATCTTTTCATTTGAGGTAGACATGACGTGATATTTAGAGTTTGAAAACGTAAGTGTTTATGGATTAGAGTGAAAGGGAATGGAAAAAAAATTTTGGTTAAAGCAAAAAAGTGACTTGAAGTTACTATAATTGGAAAATCATAGACGACATCAACCGAGTAAGCGCATCATCACTGTGATATCATAGTTAATGCAAAGATGAATTGATTATGGATATATAAAGGACAGAATCCATTCATACTTTCTTTTTAATTCAAATTGTTACCATGGAAACTTACAACAGACCCTTAACTCCTCCTGACAACGATCGTCTCAAAGACTCTACATTGCCCGAAGTTGCTTCTCTTCAAAAGAAACAAGACCAAGTCTTTCCTCCCGTTACAGGCGCTACTGCTGATATAACCTCTACTCAACCTATCACTAAAAATAACGCTACTACCACAAACCATTCTACTTCAAACCCCTTTGCTTCAGATACTGCTGATGCTCGTCGTACCTCCCAACCTCCTCCTGGTTACCAACATGGTGTTGCCTTCCCATTTGAGAAGGGCACGTCTTCCTCTCCTGTGACCAGTACAGCTACATCTGCAGCCAGTCCTACCAACAACACTGCAAAGTACGGTAGCTCACAACGTAATGATACGACCCATCGTATCGAAACCGAGGCCTTGAACATTCTCCAATGGAAAAATCCTCTCCGCTCGGGTGCCATCATGGCCATGATTGTAGGCTCAATCATCCTTAGTCGTTGGTACTCTTTGCTCCAGTTAGGTTCTATGGCTCTGACTTTGGCCATTGGCATCAATCTGATTTATGTTCACTTTATGCTTCAAAGTCAAAAGGTGCTCACAAGCACTGACAATGTATCACACCCCTACAGGTAAGGGAGTTGCATGAAATTTTTAAAACTATCATGCTGATTTTTTTTTCACAGAGACGTCATTGATAATGAAAGATCGACAGCCATCGATCGCCAAAGCGTTCGTCGCTACACCAACATGTTTATCGAAGTGGCTGAGACGGTCATTCGTGCCTTGACTCGTATTGTCTTTATTGATGACACCAAGACAAGCATCAAGTGGCTTGCCATCTCTTTTACTATCTGGAAGATCTCTGCTCATATGTCTACTGTCAACATCATCCTCTTGGTCACACTCTCTGCCTTCACTTTCCCTCGCTTGTACATCACAAACAAGGACGTGGTTGACTCTCATCTTCATAAGGGTCAGACCTTGATTCAGAACAGTATCACCAAGGCGCAAGAAGTTGCCAAGGATGGTATTAATGATACTTATGCAAAGGCTAGAGCTTTAGCTGCAAAGGCTGGAACAACAGGTACTGATGCTAAGAATACCTTAAATAACTCTTCTGTTACTGTTAAACAAGACTAAAAAAAAAACTGTGTATTCATTTAAATTTGTTGTATGTAAATAAAATCTTTATGAACTTTTTTTCTTTTTATACTTCAGAAAAGGCGGGTATGATCAAATGTGCATCAGTCAGGAGTTGACCTGATTGTAAAAGACCGACATGAGGTGTGATATCCCAGGCAATGGAAAGATTGGCCCGTTCATAACTAGCAAGTATCAATAATCTTCATCTTATTATTATTTTACAAACTTACTTCCACTTTTGAGAAATGTCAACCATAGCATACTTGTTACCAACGTTCTTTAGCTTTAAATTCGCCTTTTCCTTTTGAGTGATGATTCGATCCCAAAGCACAACTGAGTTACGTTTCTGGATGATATCATCAGTATATATGGTTTATATAATTGAATCCTTACATATTTGTCTGTTTCATAATCAGCTACAACAGTGACGAATATCTGCTTTGTGTTCCAATTGAATAATTCACTAAAGTCTAGACTATGCGTGTTAACGATCATCTTTAAACTGTGTATAGCTTGTACCAGCATCAATATCAAATGAAAGTCTTGCAAATTCACTCTTTTTTCTATAATCTTGATTTTCTGGACCAAAACGACGTGCGACACTGTTATGAATGTTATTAAAAGTGGTATGATATATGAGTATAAAAACACGTACACTTTAATGTTGCTGGCATCTACTTTAAGTGCGCCTTGGATAGGTGGATAGCCTTGAATGTAAGAGATGAGGGCAACTATGCCAAGAACTGCAGATAGAACACTAACAGCAAAAGAAAAAAGGTTCTACTTTTATTTAACAACGTGGAGGAGGATGAGATTAACATTTTATTTACATTGAATCGTTGTTGCAGATTATACATGACGTGTCAAGAGACAAGAGGGGAAGGAATAGAGACAGACAGATAGAGAGACTGGCAAATTGTATTTAGTCGGAGCTTTATTATTTCTGGATAAAACACAATGACTGTTACAGAATGAATAGTCAAGAAGGAGCATAGGATATGTTTAGGAAAATGTATAGAATATAGGATGGAGAGACTCTTTGTAGAAAGTAATTATTCATTATCTAGCATAAAATATAGCATGTCTTTTTATGCGTGTGTGTAGCCAATAGAGACGAAATATAAAAGGAACAAATTAACAAACTATAAAGAACACCAAGTGCATGAATGCCTCATTTGCTGTAATTCCTTATTTGACTTGCAATACGCCAATGACGTAAATAAAACACATTAACACGGCAGAATCCATAATCGAGATATATACCAAGTAGTTTCTATATCATGTTCTCAAATACGCATAGCATTTGATTTTTATTATACGCTAAAGAAACATTGAACTCTCTTATCCAGTAGTAACATCAATAACACGAATCTATTTATGAAGAGAGAAGCAAGTGTATGAATTATTCAAGTACATAGTTAAACAGAGACAAAACCGGAAAATTTAGTATATAGAGTCCAGTCTTTGTTGGATCAAAAATAAATCCAACTATTGTTTCTCTTTTTTCTCCATTTTACTACCTATTTTTTACTCTTAATGCCTAGTCGTTCAAATTCAATTCTTCATATTGGGAATTTTGGAGACTACCATCTGCTCCAAGACCTCGGTCAAGGTGCTTGTGGTAAGGTAAAGTTGGCGATGAATAACGAAACTGGCGAAACGGTAAGGATCGAAAATTGTTAAAAAAAAGGACATTTAATTTATTATTCCGAAGCTTGCTATCAAAATCATCAAACGTCCTGAAATTGACGAGGAACAACGTTCGATCAATGGAAAGGTTTATTCTGAAAAGAAATTCCTTGAAGAAAAACTCAATTGGGAAGGTCGTGAGAAGAGAGCAGTCCGAGAGACGTCGATCATGAAACTCTTACGCCATCCATATGTTGTGAAATACTACGATATGGTTACTACTGATTCCTATCACTACATCATGATGGAGTACGCCGAAGGAGGACAGTTACTGCATCATATTGCTGCTGACGGAATGATGTGTGAGCCTGAGGCTCGTCATTATACTCGTCAGATCATCAGTGCGCTTGACTACATGCATCGTAACTCGATCGTTCACAGGGATCTCAAGGTTGAAAATATCATGCTGGACAGAACTGGACGAAGTATCAAGGTCGGCGATTTTGGTCTGTCTAACACGCACTTTCCCGAGAAAAGACTGACGACGTTCTGTGGATCTCTTTACTTTGCTGCCCCGGAGGTGCTGAATGGAGATCCCTACCAGGGTCCTGAGCTGGATGTCTGGAGTCTAGGCGTCGTCATTTATGTCATGGTTACTGGTCATATGCCATTTGATGATGTTAGTGTGCCATTGATTCAAGACAAGATAAAAAATGCCATCGTGTCCTATCCAGAACACATAAGCGAGTGCTTACAAGACTTGCTTTCTAAAATCTTTGTTGTTGATCAAAAGAGACGAATCAAGCTGGCTGACATAATGAAACACGACTGGATCGAAAAACATTATGCTCAAGGTATCAAGAATTATGTACCTATTCGCATACCTCTGCACATCCCATTAGCTTCCCCCATTCTGAATGAGATGTCAGAATACTTCAATTTTGGTACTCCAGAGGAAATCAGGACCAAGATGGAAACGATCATCGAATCGCCTCTTTACAAGTTTGCTTCTGACCACTGCTGCTGTGTTGAATTGTGTAGGCTCAATAAAATCAATGAAGATCAACTTGCATTTATCAAGAGATGGGGTTTCTATAATGATCCACAATCAGTCCCTGCTGCCTTTCACCCTTTGCTCTCTGTTTACTATTTGATCAGGGAACGCCTCAAGAATCAGGTCGTACCGTTCGTACCAGACTCACCTAGATCGGTTCATTTGTCCTCTGTTTGTAACTCACCTGTTGATGGAGACACTCCTTCTGATCAAAGATGCTCTTGGTTAAAGTTATCTACAGAAGAAATGAATATCGAAAAGGAATATTCAAAGCCTACTGAATCTCGACTCATTTCAGCTTCTTCAAGTGAAACGTATGCGACTGCACAGGGTTTATCAAGAGAGCATGATCAAGTGGCTCAGAGTCATATTCACGAAGAGGATCATCATCATGGAATCAAGCATATCGTTGCCTCATTGAATGCTATATTCTCAAAGATATCTTGCCAACCTCCTCCTCCTTAGATAATTTACCAAACAACAAACAAACAAAAAAGCAAGTTTTTCTTTTCAATTTAATGAATTTATAATAAAGCAGAAAAGATGTTGCGAAAATGCATATAAATTAACTTGTCCATAAAAGATGTCATAAAGACATGCTGTGTTTCAATATTTGTCTCTCTTTCTCTTTGCATACAGAAAAGAAAAAAAAAAAAAATTATATGATAACCCAACATAATACAGACTTTCTGTCACGAAAAGAACAAGTCATTGCTTCACTTGTTGAACATTTGGATCCAGAAAGAAGAGACAAATCACCCAAGGGATTCATTGATGCTCCCATTCTAGATCTGATGCATGTCATCAACAAACACCCTGATTACTATACTACCAGTAGCTGTTCCGGACGAGTAGCCATTTACTGTCCAGCTCTAGAAAACGATAAAGTAGCCACGAAGGGTGGTATCTGGTTATACGTCAGTCATGACCCAATTCCTGTTCCGGAAAAAGAAAAAGACAGCTGGATCCTTCAGTTACTCTTTGGCAATCGAAACATTGTATTTGATTATGAACGGCCGGCTGATTTAGTCCATAAGCAACTGATCTATTTCAAGTTTGAACCGTTGGTAAAAACAAACAATAAGAAAGAAAAGAGGTGTTATTAACAATACAAAAAAAGATTTTACATATTGAAGCTTCTAGCTATGAATCAGCTATGCACTTGTTGAATATTGCAAATCAAGCAGGATACCAAAACTCAGGCATCACTGTATCACGTCGACATATGCTGGCCATACGCAGCACACTCAAGATAGACACACCCATTGCATATATAGAGAATGATACAGTGTATTGTTTAGTGGATATAGCTTATTTAATGCTCCTTGTCAGCATGTCAAACGAGAAGTTTCAACAAAATATAGAAAGAATGAGTATCTTTGAGGAAAAGTTGAGACGAGAACTAGAAAATAATCAAACACAAGTAAAAGAGGAAACTAAAGAAGAGAGAAGAGAACGAAAGCGCAGAGAAGGGTTGCAGAAGAAGAATCAAGTCGTCAAGGAAAAAGTGGAGCAACAGGATCTAGAGGATATGAGTGGTATTTTTTAGAAAGAGAAGCTCTTTCTCTCTTTATTTATCACCTTGTCATATTAAAAATGTAATTGGTAACTTGATCATATTCTTTAAATAATAAACAATACTTGACGTGGTACTGCATTTCTACTGATATACACGTTAGGTGGTGTATCTTTGTAGTATACTTTCATAATATCAGATCTAATTTCGAAGCATAATGCTCTTTTATGAACAACGCGCATTATATTTGACAATCGATCATTAGAATGTGCCAGTATACATTTTGGATATTATATTGCCTTTTCCTTTTTGGAATATATAGTAATGTTATATTTTGCAATAGCATTGGTTTTTTACCACGTTATCTAATTTTAGCTTGAGCCTAATTTGCTGCATATACATGAGTGTACATTATTTTAAACACGTAATCGCCCTTACTGCCTTGAAAAAGAGAAATACAGCCGATTTCCTTTCCAAAAATGTAGAAACATATCTATGAGTTCTAGTAGCTTTTCATAAACTTGATTCCCTTTTTACATACTCTTTATTACTTCGTCCTATAACGCATTGACCTATCATCTACATCTTGTTATACATAGTGGCATGTTGAATAGCATATGTGCACAGTATAGAGGTGTATTCAATTGAATGACAGTAACAAAAATACCTCTCCCACATTACTTCTACCTACTATATAATTCAGAGGCAAGGAGCAAACAAAAGCTTCTCTCAACCTTTTTTTGTCAACGCCAAATCCTAACCCAGAATCATTCTCTCTTTTTACAGTGATATAAGAAAATTTTGCAGGAATATATTATATAGAAGAACAAGGGAGGCTTATACTTTGTCATCATCAAAGTAAACTTTTGTTGCCGCGACTGGAGCTTTATTTCTATAGCAATGAGATAATTATTCTGCTAATTTGTAGTCATGAGTATAAAATGAAACATCACTTTGGCACCAAATAATAGACCCAGAATTTGTACCCAAGTGCAGTAAGGTTCATATCACAGTTAGAGATTTTCTGGTCGATGACAATTAGATGACAGAGAACCCTTCATGCGTTGGACCCTTTTGTTACCGGATGTCACTGTTACACTCAATAGCATAATAGTGAAATTAGGCTGATCCACTTCGTCTTAACTTTGATACAATCTCTTTTTATTTCGGCTTACCTATATACTACAAGCATGTATGAGTTAGCTTCACCAGTTATTGACATTCGTAGGTGTAAAAGTGGCAAGGAAAGTAAAAAAGAGGAGGGGACGTAACGTTACACTAAACAGAGCTCAACAAAAAAAGCTTCATGTGATTAAACTTTGCCTTTTCTTACTAAAAATAGTATAAAGATGGATATC